GGAACATATTGGAATTCTTGAAATCCCGCATGATATAACAGTCCTTCCAAAGATGTGATGCCGACTTCTCCTTCGATCCATGCTTTGGACAGAGCTGATTTAACAAGCGCTCCAAATTGTTGCCTGAACCTCCACCCCTCTAGGGCTGCTTGCCCTTACGGCGCTGGCCATTCTCCTGCCGTTGATATTTGCAACAAAGTCCAAGCTACTGTCGGCCTTGCGCTTACCACCGTTTCCATGGCCTGCCGGATTATGTTGCTGACCTTTGGCATTGCTGTTCTTCTTACCTTTCTTCGGTTTGTCTTCTTCTGAATCCGGATCCTTGGTATTATCTGAATCGGCGTATTTAACCAAAGCGGCCATGAGTGTTGACATGTCATTGTAGTGACGTTTGAGCCTTCCCAACTTCTGTTTTAACGGTTTGAAATGACAATTGCCCTCTAATGTTAACACTGCAGTGTCTGCATTGATACGATCTGATGAATGCAAAATCGCTGAGACCCGTTTGACCCAATGGGTCGTGGACTCCCCTTCCTCTTGGACACAAGCGGCCAGATCTACGATTGCCATCGGCTGCTTACACGTATCCTTGAAGTTCTGGATAAACCGGTGCTTCAATTCGGCCCATGATCCAACAAGAGTTGGTCGGCAAGCTCTTCAACCAAGTGTGAGCTGTTCCTTCCAACATCATGGTGAAATATTTAGCACACACTGCCTCATCCACATCTAACATCTCCATTGCCATATCATAGCTCTCCACCCACGCCTCTGGTTGCAAATCGGCGGTGTAATTTGGTACCTTACGAGGTCCCTTGAAATCCTTGGGCAGTCTCACATTACGCAAAGCGGGGGTTAAACACGACACCCCTAAGGAACTGAACATCACTCCTGGCTCCACGGAGGCCGTGGGGTGAACTGGAGTATGCTGTCGTGCTCCGTATCGAGCTGTCAACTCGGCCTCTCGACGTGTGCGGCCATGGTCCACAACATCTTGCGCATTAGCGCCTCCCCCGGCCGGGTTGTTCCCTCGTGGTGAATTTCGGCGATGTGCACTACTGGACACGGCCGGTTCGTCCTCCACGTGTCTGCTATAACTCCGGCTTGGACGGGGAGTGGAATGAATCCTCTCACGACTGTGTGAATACGCCTGCTGTTGATTTAGTGCTGTTTGAAGGAGATCCCTGGTCCGACATGCTTCCACTGCAACTGGTGACTCGCCGTCGGTTGGGAGGGCCGCCAGGCGTGAAGCGGCGGCCACAATGTTGTCCAACGGGTTGGAATAATGCCCGGGCGGTGTTGATACATACTGTGGCACAATGTTGTTCTGGCGAGGCGGGTCCGTCGTGCGTGGTTGAACCGACGCTCCTGCTCCCGGCGCCCCCGCCCGGTTTAGTGTGGGTTGGCTACCAGCTCCTGCTCCTGGTGTGTTGAAGAGATTCTGCGGCTCATAAACCGACGAGAGACATGATCGATATCTTCTTCTCATGACTTCCTCTGAAGCATTCTGATCCAGTCTAATCCGGTAGGCCTGTGCTTCCAATTCAGCCCGCTCTGTGGCCATCCTAGCATTTTCTGTTGCCAGGCCCGCTTTAGCCTGGGCTATCTAATCTTTCATCTTTGCAATCTCCGCATTGTGCTGATCCCTGGCTGCTGCATCCACCTCCGCGGCCATCAACGTCGCCAAAGCGTCGAACAAATCAGACAGGACTTGGGCCGGACGCGGCGCCGAGCTTCCTGCCCCTGCTGGTGTGGCCGTTGTTGAACCGGAGAGCATTGCTGCGGCGGTAGATGAATGAGGCGCCGATTGTGTGCCGGCCATGAAGATGGCAGCCCGGTTTGGTAGATCGGGGGAATCCGGAATACTGTTGCCCTCGGATCCTCCCTCAATCCGACCGTCCTTCAACTGATAAAGTGATTCGGTCTCTCTAGAAGACTCGTCATCAGAACAGACCACGGTCTCTCCATCGAACACCGGTCCGTCCTCGTACCTTGATCCATGGATGACACCCACGAAAACATGCCTTGCCTCGGGCTGAACCGGCGAAGAACTTGCACGCCGAGCCGTTTCGATGATGTCGGTGTAGATGTCCGGCTCGGGGGCCGGTTCGCCGATCTTGCCGATGAAGACGTGAATCCCACCAAAGGGGACCCGGTACCCGTATTCGATTGAATCACCCTTGGGACCCCATCCCGCATTGTCGATGTAGAGTTTGCCGCGACGACTCTTCGTCATCCGGCCCACATCGTATCCCTTAAGTCCATCGAAGCTGCCCTTCAAGAACTCAAAACCACCGTGCGATAGCCCCACGGTGGGCGCCAACTGTCGTGGGTTTGTCACGGCAAATGTCCTTGTGAAAGGACTTAGTCATGGAGCCATCGCTATGGGTTAGCTTTAATGGGTTAAACCGGACAAAGGGACACGTGGAATTTTATACTAGTTCGGCCCCTTCGAGGAAGGTAAAAGCCTACGTCTAGTTGTGATTGGTATTGCTAGGATTTCGAAGGCCAGGGAGCGAATCCGTTTTGTCTGGCTCTCGAGTTGTTGTTTGTTGTCCTGAACCGCTGCCGGGTCGTCCCCTTATATACATGGGCGGCGCCCGTCGGTTTACAGAGTCCCGAGACCGGCTCATAAACGTGTCCGGTTCGGTCTCCACTCTTTCTATCTTACAATACAAGTTTCATACAAATGCCGGTTCACGGCTACGGGCCTTAAACCGGTTCTGGGCCCTGGATCTTTCCTCTTCTGTCTACATGGGCTTCAAGCATAATCAACTACGGATGAAGTTAACCCGGCCTTTCTTGGCCGGTTTACGCCCAGTAGTAATATCCCCAACACGAAGCATCCCACTTGTTACAATGCGACCGGCCCTTGCATCTCGCATGAATGGTGACCCGAGGCGAGCGATGATGCATGCTACAACATTGGTGCCCCCTCCCCCCCCCCGCCCGCAACGCATGTGTTGGCATCTCTCGCCCTTGGGAAGGGGAGGCAAAGGAGAAGGAGCTAGATGTCACTTGGGCAGGGGGGGGGGGTGCTTCGGCCGCATGCGACATTGAGGACCAATGAGGTGCATGTGGGCGGATGCGCGCGACCGACTCAAGGAGCACAATAGAGATAGTTTTGGAGCTTCGGGGTGGGCTAGACGAGTGAGGGGGATTTGAGGTTAGGGAGTGGTGGAAAAATGACGACGTGTGACCACGTAGTACTCGCTAGAGAAGAAGACAAGGTCAGGAGGAGGCACGGTGTACACGCGACCCATTGCCGCGTGGGGACATTGGGTGCGACCGGCCGTTTTGAATTGTTTGATCTGATTTTTTAAGATGACGATTTCAGTAATTAGGAGGTTGAAGTTTAATTTCGAGGAGCCGTATAAACTCTAGGTTTAAAACCGACTTCCACGTTGCTTTAAAAAAAAAACGACTTTCCACGGAGAAAGCAAAAGAGAAATCGCCGTCGAGTCGGTCTGCCAGCGCACGAGACCGCGACCCAAACCCGAACCACTTGTCCCGAACCGCGTCTCCTCCTTCGCCCGCTCTCTACACATCTCTTTGCCCCGAGACTAGGGTTCCGGCCCCGCCACTCCCGCCGCCGGCGCCGCCATCCCCTCCCGCCCCCCGTCCGATTCATCTCCTCCCCTCTTCAAGCCATACAGTCCTCGTCATCTCCTCCGCCAGGTCCCGTGGCCCACCTTCGCCGCGGCTCTCTGCCACGACTCCGGCCGTGGTCCACCACGACTTCTGGCGGCTGCGCCCGTCAGCTCGCGCACGATCTCGCACACGGCTGCGGTTCCGCACGAGCTCGCCTCCGCCTATCTGTTCGCAAGGTATTTTCTAATCAATTACTGCAGTATTTGTTGTGCAATCGAGTCTTATATGCGGTTGATTGGGGAAGTATATGGTGTTGACTGGAGAAATATATGCCGTGCACGGGTGCTCAGATCAGATGTTTCCGGTGAGCAATTTTGTTTGCGCATGGTGTCCCGATTTTGCTGTGGTCTATGGGGTGACAGTGAGTAATCTGTAGTTATTTAAGCCATGGCTGCGAGAAAATTATCTTTGATTTTAGCATTCATGTTTAAGAAAAGTCCGGCAAAGCAAATACCCTTGTTCTGATCTAATATGGCAGTCAAACCATGCACTAGGAGAAGAAATCTAATGCACAGACTTAAGTAAATAGGCCAAGCTATATTGGTATATCCAGTATCTGAAGGTAAATGGTTGATGCTCTAATTTTTTCTCATCAACAGTTAGTTTTTCAGCACTTGCATGTCTGGAAACCGGTTGGATTGGCATATTAGGAAACTGCACACACAAAAACAGTATGATGGACTTATTTATTGAAGCCTATGGATTAGGATTCTTCTACTTGTATGCTTTAAAGGGTTTGTCTGTGATATTAGGTCAGAACACAGAGAGTTAAAGCTGATCTAATATCTGTGGTCTGTTTTGCTATTTGTGTTTTAATTTGAAGAATGATTTTTTTATCATCCCTCTATTAGTGTACCATGGGAAAAACCATAAGCTGGTGGGTGCAATTATTCTTATAAACTAATTCCCTCCCTGGTAAGTTCATCCCGGTGGAGCAGAGCTTGCCATTGTTGTACTCATGCTGCATTTTGTATTTTTCTCCGATGCATTGGCCCTATTCCGAACGCAGGAACCCATCAGAATTCTGGACAAATCGTTCTGTTCTATGCACAGTTCCTGCATTCCGGACATGCCTCTGGTATAATTAACACAAAATGTAGTCCACAATATGATAAGTAAGTTGAGGAATGGCCATATCTAGCAGCAACAAATGCTCATGGATTGATTAACACTTGAATTTCAGATGATTTATTTTTGTTCCCTGCAGAAGTTCCAGTGTGATGTAGTGATATGATGGCTTAACTTTATGGTGTCATGCTTTTTTTTACAGGATACACCAAAAAATATCTACGCCCCAAAATTTGGAAGATCACCAAGAATTAGCAGGATAACACGAGTGCTGAATTCTGGAAATGGATCGTGGGCGATATGCTCCACAGCATGGATGGGAGAACAACAGTGTAATTGCAGCCTTTTTCTTTATTAACTACCAAGGATGCTGAAGATAGCAGATCTAGTGGCATGTGATTGCCTTCCGTGTAACAAGCGTTATGTTGTAAATAAATTCAAGAAGCGGCCGTTGCTTAAATGGAATGGATTTACCTGCCTGTTCTGTAGACTTTGCTGCTGACTCAACTTACTCTGTTGAATCTACAGGCACCTGATGGGTATGGCGCCATTAATGAGCCAGACTTTAGGTGAGTCAAGTATTTCCTGTTAAAATATGCATATAAACACCAAGTGCTTCTTATATGTACTTAATATTGGTACCTTGTATTCTTAAAGTAGATGTAATGTTTGTCCATTTATATTTGACATGCATTTCCCCCTTGAAGTGCTTTGTCATATTACCATATTCCTACTGCTAAGTGCTAACTCAATTTGCAGGGCTGGTGAATCCTACATTGGTAGGAGATATGTGGATGAAGGCTTTCCTAGTGATCGAAGGGGTGGATTTGGTCCAGATATACATGATAGAAATATGTATCCACCACCACCCTCTGCTGGCACCATGTGGTCTCAGCCTCGAAGAAATTTCGATGAAGAATTTGCAACTACAAAAGAGTACAGAAGGTACACTTCTGATTTTTGCAATGATGGGAATATCATGAATTTGATTCCTATAGTGGGGTTGAAAGACTGTGATAATTATCGTGTTACTTCAAAAAAAAAGAAGAGAATGACTGTTAATCTGGTTGTTGTGATTTTTCTGTTCATAGGAACAAAAGGATTGGAAGTAGAGATCGTGGGGAGTTTGGTGCTGAGTTTGCAGACCGTTACCAAGGCGGAGAAGATAACTATGAGAGAGATCATCAATACGGACGCTACAGCTGTGATTCGGACTATGAGAGGAGCAGGATAGATAGTAGTCGGAGAAGACTTGACTCGTTTGAGCATGAACGTGAAAGAAAAGGGTTAAGTCATGAAAGAGACGAAAGCCCATATGTCCGCCATAGCCGTTCTCGGTCACGTGGGCGTGATAACCGATCAAGATCTCGGTCAAGGTCATGGTCTCCACGTGGCAAAAGTCGTAATTGGGGCCAAAGGGATGGCTTCTATGATGATACTCGCTTTGAGAGAAGAGGAGAACAGGACTGGGATGAAAGAAGGCATGATGATTTGGTGGTGAGGACTGAGGACTGAGGGCATACTTATATTTTCCTTTCGTGTTTTATAACATATAAAAGCTAATTAAATTTGCATTATTACTTGCAGGCGCCATCTGCGACTGTTGTTCTTAAGGGTCTGTCCCAGAAGACCAATGAAGATGACCTATATCAGATTCTTGTACAAGTTCCTCGTCATAAACTGTTAAAAGTGGTTGGAAGTGTATTGTCTCGTTCATTTTAATCATTTGGGTCTGGTCTCTTTTAGGCTGAGTATGGCCCTCTTCGTAGTGTGCGTGTGATCAAGGAACGACCCTCCGGCGTGTCTCGAGGATTTGCTTTTATTGACTTCCCTACTGTGGTACTAACCGTACAAGTGCTCGGAGCTGTTAATTACTGATTTAGACTGCCAATTGCTGTTATGCTCACAAAGATTTGTGTGCTCCAACAGGAAGCTGCCCGCAAAATGAAGGAAGCTACTGGAGACAATGGCCTTCTAATTGATGGTAGGCAGATATTTTCTGAGTACAGGTCTGTGTCCTTACCTTCAAGATGCAGTGCAAATTATTCGTGTGGTGCAGTTGTTGATTATGCAACTTCAGAATTGCCGTTAAGCTAATGTCTTTCTGAAAATTTTAATACAATAGCTTTATAATTGTAAGAACTGCAAAGCTTGTACACTGCTCGAATCAATTAGTATGGACACCATACTTGGTTACTGTCGTGCCATAAGAATCCATGATTGTGGAACCACTGGTTCTCTTTTGTCTCACAATCATCATGTTAGTAATTCTCACCGGAGCTTGCATTGATATGCCAAACTGTCAGATGACTCTCTCTTGGTGTACCTTTTTGTGTTTACTACCGTTTGAACAAGTTCTGTCTGCCCATTAGCAATCCAAGCTAATTGCCAACTGCCATCCACTGATCCAAATTGCATATGATGTAGGCGAAATCAAATGAGACAATAATTTATAGTTTATTTGCTGGCATTAAAGATTGGCATAATAGATTTTGTTTTGATACTTTGCCAGCTTTGAATGCTATTCTTGTATTGTATGTCATTTATTTGTACATGAGGTCACTATGCAGAAAGGGACATCCGGAGGAGATTAAATAGAACATTAACTTTAACTTGTACAGAAATGACTTTTTGAGCCGTTATATTCTCTCTTCTAAAGATTTTTGCTCTTATATACCATAGTCCTTTTGTGCTCATAGTCATATTCCTTATCTATTATGTTTGTGCTGTAACAATTTCTGCTGACTGCCATCATCCCTGCAGTAGTAAACCAACTGGTGGGACGAGTGGTGATTCTTTTGGACAAGAACATATTACGAGGTCTACCTACGGGCGCAGGACCATATCCACAGCATGTGATTGGATATGTACTATATGTGGCTGTATGAATTTTGCCCGCAGAACCTCCTGTTTTCAGGTATATTCTGGTCTCATGTAATGCAAATTACTGTGTAGCAATTCTTTATTAGGAAGTTAAGTTATGCTTTACATACAGAAAATGGAGATATTGGTATTTAAGAAAGCAAATTGCATTACTCTGAAATCTAATTTGCTTCATTTCCCCCCAGTCAATGGTGTGATCTACACTTAATTCCTTCCAAATGCAATGTGTTTTCCACTTAGTCTGGTTTAATCGCTGAGGGCACCTTTCTTTGTTTTCCCATTTAATCGCAATATATCTCTTGGCTCTTGTTAACATTGAGTTGCAAAACCTAGTCCGGAAAAGTGGGTGTCTTGTAGCAGTTCAATTATCTGTGATTTCTTGAACCTATGTATTCACAATATCTCCATCTTAAGAGTTAGTTAAGAGTCTCCATATGTTTACGCTTCCGGATACAATTATTAATTACATCACCCAGATGTTGGATGGATTGGACTTCATGTCTATGTGAAGTATCTATATGGGCCTGTTTGGTTTGTGACTATCTTTGCCATCTTTGCCACATGTTGCGATATTATTTTTGCCACACTTGCCTAACTTGAGGTGCTTAAATTTTTAGACATATTTTGGGTTGCCTCAGGGAATCTTGCCACACTTTTTGTGTGTATGCCATGTGGCGCTTATTGCTCATTAAATAATTTTTGCCTGAGGTGTGGCCAGAACCGAACGCCCACCTACTTGGTCAAACTTGCCTAACTTGAGGTGTGGCAAATTGTGGCTAGGAACCAAACAGACCCTATATCCTTGCAACTGCAATGCTATCTGTTGTCCACTCCAACTAAATTATCTTTCGAAGAAAAACCAAATTCAGTCGTCCAAATCTCAACAACAGTTATATAACTCACGTATTTGCCACTGCTTGCATTTTTTTGGGGGTGTTGTCATAATGGGTTATAAAAATAAAAATAGAAGGAAGAAAATAATAAAGTCAAAACCTTGGATCATCGATAGATCATGGACATGTCTACACTCTGGTAACATAGGACCCTGCTCCTCCATGTCCACATAAATTATTTGCTTGCAGGATGTTTTCTGAACATCAAACTGTGGAAAAACATATCTTCCAAAACATGTCACCTCTTTTTGGCTCTGCCGGACCAGGTTCTGGTTTTTGAAACCTGGCAATAGCACCTTTGAGATAATAAGTTGTGTTCAATTTAGTAAGATTTGAGAATAACTCATGTCCCATGCTGCCTTAGTTACATGGTAACGGGCTAAAGGCTGACAAATAACAGCTGTTGGATAATTACTTGTCTACTTGTAAGTTCGTGGTTGCTCTTGCTTTCCGTTTCCAGCTAATTGCATGTTTACTTGTATTCTCACAGTGCAACGAGCCACGTACTGACGATGCTCCACCAGCTGATGCAGCATCTTCCATTCAACCGTTTGGCAAACGGGGATCTGAAATAGGCAAGTTTGTGTCTTGTTTTTAGAATTATGTGAAATATGTAGTACATTGCCTAATTATATACTGTCATTGCAGGTCCAACTCATGTCTTAGTTGTTCGTGGTCTGGATGAAAATGCTGACGAGGAAATGCTTCGATATGAATTTGCTAAACATGCTCCAATAAAGGTAGGCAGAAGCTATTAACTCTTGTAACTATAATTGTTTCTTTTCTGTAGAGTTACATGTCAAACTCTCTGCAGGATATCCGGCTTGTTCGGGACAAATTTACTCATGTGTCTAGAGGTTTTGCATTTGTCCATTTTCATTCGGTAAGTACTAGTGGATCACTAGGAGTAGGTTTTATCTGATGTAAATTTTTGACAGTCGCTATACATCCATCTGTGCTAGGTTGAAGATGCCACGAAAGCTCTTGAAGCTACAAATGGGATTAGACATGAGAAAAATGGCCAGGTGTTACGTGTAGCCTATGCTAAAAGCACGCTTGGACCTGCATCGGTGGCTTCACAGTCAAACAGCCTTGCTGCAGCAGCCATCGAGGCTGCATCATTTGCCCAGCAGGTCTGTTTTAGTAATACATATTTTTGGTCAAATTGATAAGCCATACTACCTTGCCTTTTTTTTGGTAGTTAATTAAGACTTCGTCATGCTTTCATGTTACTATCTCCATTTCAAATATAGGCATTATCTTGGTCACTGACATGATCTAAAATACAGACACTTAGCTGTTACATTTTGCGTACACATAATTTTAAAACGTACGCTACACATTCTAGAACTGCATCTATTTATTTCGGGGTATATAGTTTTTGCCGATTCTATACATGGTCTGGTTATTTACTCTTATTTACCTTTTCGATCAGTATGATGCTGTGGGTTGGGCCCCAAAAGAGTACAATGCTGAGGACAATGTAGATGGTAATTCAGAATCTCAGAAAGATGTTTCTGCTCCACAGTCCGGATTTGTTTGGGATGAGAAATCGGGCTATTACTTTGATTCTTCTTCTGGATTCTATTATGATGGAAATACTGGTAAGTACGCAAGTATACTGTTGCTATCTGAAAGCTTATCTGTGCAGCTGAAACAGTTCTGCTACACTCCCCTTGCCTTGGGAGATGTTTATGACTGAATTTATTAAATTGTTCTTATTTCAGGCCTTTACTACGACAGTAATGTTGGAGTTTGGTATTCGTATGATCAGAAAACTCAACAGTATCTTCCATGTAATGAAAGCAACAACAATAAGGCAACCGGGGACATGGCCAATGAAAGTCAAAGTAATGGCGGTAAGAAAGTGGTGATTTCTGCACCTGCAGCCACGGTTAAACAAAGTGAGGAAACTTCATTGCCTGAAGCTGTTCAAGCTGCGGCCAATGCAGCGTTGGCTGCTGAAAAGAAAGAAAAAGAGAAAGCAAAGGAGATAAAGTTGGCCTCGAAAACTAATCTTTTAGCCAATAAGAAGAAGATGAATAATGTCCTAGCAATGTGGAAGCAAAGGAATAAAGAAGGCCAGGCTACACATGTTGCCCTTGATGATAAGGAACCATCCAGATCCGTTGTTGACAAATTAAACAATTCATCCAGTGCGATTGGATTCTCATTGAAGGCCAAACCTAAGTCTGATATTGGAAATTCTAAGGACATGAACTTGGTTGCTGGATATAATTCTCTTGGCCGCGAAACTGGAGGCTCTCAAATACTGGATTCTGACATAAAGCCTAGGCCTGTTAGTAATAGCTTAGGAACTACTGTTATGGGTGTGATAAGAGGTTCTGGCAGGGGAGCAGTCAACACATTTCATGCATCATCTGATGCTGGTGGCAGTATTTCTTCTGATATAACCGCAAGCACAAGTGTGCTAATGACAAACACCGAGACACACACTGCTTCCACACCCTTCAAAACAGATTTATCTTCTCTAGGATCATATGCTTCACCTGCAGTTTCTGGGAGTGCTAAGCGACGGTTCTCCGAGGCACCAGGGCAATCTCAGTACAGAGATCGGGCTGCAGAAAGACGAAGTCTATATGGATCAACTTCATCGCTTCCCAATGATGGACTGGATACAAGTAAGAATACACTTTCTTTATTTCTCATCATGACACATTGTACAGTTGTTTCTTCTTTCCTAGACTCATTTCTAGAGCACAATATGTCACGAACAAAATAGTGCCCTTACTCTGATAAATTTTGTGACTCTCATTTGTGTTCTACTGAGTGCTGACAGTATATCCAGCCTTTATTTATTAGGCCGAACTTGGTGTGGATGGACTCTGTTGCTTGATCCTACGCAATTATGCATTATAGGACCAATGTTTTCCGTCTTGCTTGTTCAAGATCTGTATTAATATTCTGGAAATTCCTTGTTAAGCTGGTGAATATTCGTCTCGAAAGGGTTCAAGTGAGATGGGATCAATGCCATTTCCTCCAGGGGTGGGTGAACGTTCTGTTGGTGAAAGTGACAACACTGAAAATTATGAGGTGATCACTGCTGACAGAGCAATAGACGAAAACAATGTGGGCAATCGAATTCTGCGCAACATGGGCTGGCAAGAAGGACTGGTATGTTTACCTATTTCTCAGCTTTTAGCCTCTTGGATGCTGCATTGGATCACACAAGTTTTTAGTGCCTCCATAATTTTCTTGCTTTTGCTGTTTCTATATTTTTGAAAACCATTCTGCTGTTGTTGTTTTAATAAAATCAATTGTGCATGGCCTCTTATCTTAATATGTTGAATGTTTTTTTTCAATCCCTTTGTAACTTGGCTCACCTTATCTTTAATAATTGCTTGTTTGCCACTCTTGACTGAGCTAATATTATTTTTTTGCATCTTTTGTTTAATTGGAAAATTGCTAAAGTTACTGTGAATAAATTATAAACTTAATATATTTTTAGCTTAAAACATTTATTGGGCATAAACTGTTAGGCACACTAAGTTAATACGACTACAGATGGATCAGTTTGCCAATAATTCCTACAGAATGGAAGCTGGGTGCCTTGAACATTCCTTCTGACGTGAGCATGTATTGGTATTTTTCCCTTGCAACTATTTTGCAAAATACCCAGGGCCTTGGAAAGGATGGCAGTGGCATCAAGGAGCCGGTGCAGGCCAAGCCTGGTGACGTGAGAGCCGGGCTTGGTAGTCAGCAGAAGAGAGCTGCTGACCCATCACTGGAGGCCCGAGCTGGCGATAGCTATAAAACCATAATCCAGAAGAAGGCCATTGCGAGATTCAGGGAGATGTCCTAAGTGCTTTCTTTATTTCATCGTCGTGTATAATTAGTCCGGATACTCGTTTTTATCGGTGTTAATGTCAAAACCCCCAATGCTGTGTGCATTTGTACTGTTAAATTTATCTTATGTGTCTGGCTCCATAAATCTTGGTGTAATTTAAGCACCGAGTACAGATTTAATTTGTGTACTCACATTGTTCTGAAACTAGCTCTGTACCTGTTTTTCTTTTCTTGCCTACTTGAATTCAATGGTATCTAAATTTACCTGTTAGTGGAAATCGTCGCTTGCGCACTAGAAGAAAGTATGTTGCACGTTTGGCATGGTGCACAGCTAGTCTACTGCTGTGTTCTGTTTTCCCCTGAAAAGTTATGTCAAGCAAAAATTAGAATAAGAAACTCACGGGAATGAAAGTAACACGAGACAAAAATAAAAGCCAAAAGGATTCTCTTGGCAACCACATTTTTATAGTTGCAAGGAAGAGTTAGGTTTACTGTAGCTACAATAACATCCCTTGATAAGTCTAGCACAGTTTGTCCCCGTCGGACGGCCAAGATCGTGGAAAATTGCAGAGGATTTGGTCGTATACTGAGAGATTTTTTATGATAAAATGGCACGTATTTCCTGGGATTTTGATCTGGTCACACTTTGTTTTTTTCCTTGTAAGATGACAACATGTTTGACTGACTGTTGGACAAAATGGCACTGAATGAAGATTTTCTATATTTCCATGTGTGGGCCCACCCGTCATATACTTCGGGCGAGTCTGCCCTCCATTGTTTTTTCCTCTGGTTCGATCGACTGCTCGGTACAGAAGTGCCCGATCCAAATCACAGGCACCCACTGAGAGTGCACTAGAGGGAGAGAGAGAGGGAGCAGCGCAGCCGCATGGCGACGCTGCCACAGCGGTTCAAGCTGCTGGCGACGCGGTGCGCGGCGGGGGCGCCCAGCCCCTCGCGCAGCCCCGCGCCGTCCTACGCCACCAGCCCCGGGTACCGCCTCCGGCGCCGCCGCGGGTCGCGCCTGCGCCGCTTCCTCTGCCGCCGCGTCGGCGGCGGGCTGCCGGAGCCCGCGGGGCGCCGGGAGGAGGACAAGAAGCCGCTGGTGGGCCGCGGGAGCCGCACGCTGAGGGATCTGTTCGTCGCGTCGCCGGAGGCGGGGCGCACCCGGCGCGGATGCGGCTGCGACGCCGACAGCGACGACGACGACGACGAGGAGGCGGGGCGCGCCGGCTCCGGCGGCGCGTTGGGGGCGGCCAGCGGAGGGGGCGGGAGGAGGTTCCGGGCCGCCGGCGGGGGCCTCCGGAGCCTCCTGATGCGGCGGAGCTGGCGGCCGGTGCTGGTGGCGATCCCGGAGAGCGAGGGCAAGATCGAGCTCGGCGCCATCGAGGAGTAGATCAGCGACATGACAAGAATTGCATTACCCCGGCCGCCGGCCGCCACGGATCGGAGCCGGGAATCTCGCGTCGCTTTCCGCCGTCCGTCCTCTTTTCCTTTCTTGATGATTGTTTGTCTCTTTTCCCCACCTTTCGTAGGCGTCTGTCCGTCCCTGTGAATACGGAAATAGTACCAGATTACTGCCACACTGTTATCCCAAACCGTGAGTGCACAGGCAAAGTTGACAAATTTGACCTCAAAGCGAAAGCATTTCACAAACTAAACTTCTTTTGAAAATATTTCACACTGCTGATCCTTTTGTGTAGCGCCCGACAGCAAGGCGCTGCACTCTACTGTGCAACTCCTTACAGCTAGGCGCTGCACAGTGTAGTGCAACTCCTTAGAGTTAGGCGCTGCACAGTGTGGCGCCTAAGTGTTAGGCGTTGCACAGTAGAGTGCAGTGCCTTGCTGTCAGACACTGCACATTAAAGATCAATCGGGTGAAATACTTTTAAAAATAGTTTAGTTTGTGAAATAGTTTCGATCTAAGGTCAAATTTGTGCCTTTTGCCGAGTGCACAAGAACAAAGGCGGTGTGTGCCCGGTGATCTTGTCAGTAATAGGAGCACTGCAGTTCGTTAGACAAAGCCAGGTGCAGCAATGCATGATGACTGATGGGTACTCCAGAGTAGAGTAGTAGCTCCGGTGATCTTGTCAGCAATGGGAGCACTGCACTTAGACAAGGCTAGACGCAGCAATGTGTGCTCCAGTAGAGTGGTACTGATGATGTACCTGCAGCAATGCCAACACAGGTTATCCGAGAAATGTTTACTGGCAAGATAACTTGAACCAGCGTAGTAGTAGAACCTACAGGGGTAGAGCTTTATTTATGTCTGCCACAGTGCAGCACTGTGGCACAGCTTCATTTGTGACCACACACAATCAATGAATCTGGAGTTGGATGTGCCTGGGCCTGCATGCGTTATTAGTTTAACCGACCAATGGGCCAGCGTGTCCAGGTACAATCAACTGATGATCAGCTCAGCTCGGACAGATATTATATTTTTCAACTGAGCGAGCCATGTGAGTTTTTCGCACGCTGAAAAAGTGGCACCAACACACGTTCAGCTGTTCAGAAGAGATAAGAAACGAAATCGCAATGCAATCCAATCCAATTACTACCAAAGATGAGGACCAGTAATACCGTCTATGTAGTACATAATTCGTTTTCGGAGGTGAAAAATGAAAACTATTCCTTCCCGGGCTCGCCGCTGGGCGTGGGGACGAAAGTGAGGAGATGGATCAGCCGGCGCCGTCGTGAGGGCAACCCGACGGCAACCGTTTTGTCCGGATGGTCGGAGGTTCGGGTCAGGTACCAACACTGGGAGCGACAATGCACGAGATATCTATCTTGGGTCCAATGCATCTCATCATAGGCGTCCGAGCCTATAGCCTGTCTAAAATGGTGGTGGTATCTATCACCAAGGAGTGGAATCGCTGGTACGTTGCGATGTTCATGAATAAACAGCTACAGTAGAGATGAAAATAGAAGGAAAGGTTACTTCAAATGAAAGAAGCCACCCCGAAAGCTGACCTTCACTTGTTTTGTGATCGTAGACCTTCTAAAATGATTATTCGATTCTCCTTTTGAAAGAAGGCAAGAGACTTGCTAGTTTCATTGATTAACAAAAAGGTTTAGACATAAGCTGCGAGGCAGCAAAATGAAAAGGTCTACCTTTGCAACATAACAATACTCAGCTCCCATCTATTCCTTCCCAACACCCCGCCTGCCTGGTCCCATGCTGTTTGTGGTCGCAATGCTGCTAGAGATCTCGTCGAGCCCAAAAACATTTTCAGGTTTGCGGCCAAGGTTTGAGAAAAACACCACCTTTTTATTCCCACTTTTCACAATGATTGCAAGTTTCTGGTTCATCTGTTTGATTTCCTAGAGGAATTTTGTCTCCTGTCTGCAGATGAGGCGGCCCTGCGAGACGATGCCTATCTCTGTCTTGCCGCCTCTGTCAAACTGCAAGGGGTTTTGGAGACGGCGGGGCAAGTGTCAGGCGGTGCGTGACGTTGATGAGAATACCGATTTCTTCCACGCACAAACTTCCCAGCGCGGGCAATCGGACGCAATCTGTGCCCTGAACATCGACGACAAGATGGTTTTGGGCCACACGGCTAAGGCGGGTGCTCTCCTTTGCTTCTGTTGGAAATATGCCCTAGAGGCAATAATAGTTTATTATTATATTTCCGTATTCATAATTAAGAGTTCATATTTCATGGTATAAATGCTATGATCCTGGAATACTTGATTTAGTGGAAAACTCATATGCACGTGTGAAATAAGAAATGGTAAATAATAGGTTCCTAGTCTCACCTCTAAGACTGGTCAAGTGTTGTTGGTCATCATGTTTACCGGATTTTAGGATATCGTTAAGTGTAACGATAGTCCTAAAACAACATTGAGAGTATGACGTTCTGAATCGACCCAAACTTGTTTGTTATGCATTGAGATAATATCATCTGAAATCAATTGTTATAACACGGAGTGCTTACATGTGTTTTTAGTTTCTTAGACCACGAGAGCATCATAGTCACTTCTTACCGTACGGTGAACATTGGTGTTGCTCAAACATCATCCGTAACACGATGATCATAACGACAGCTACAAGTTCATCGAAAAGTTTGACAAGGGACTAGATAGCTCGTGAGTGGGATGTGCTCCTCCGACAATGGAGAGATATTTTTAGGGCCCTCTTGTTGTGACGACATCAATCATCGTCTCGCCAGACACAGGTGACTATGTCACGGGGATGCCGGAACACTTCAACGACAAAAGAACAAAACTGATAACAGGGATGACGGTATAGTGAGCATGTGTATTACTTAGGAGGATACCGATGCATCTCGGGTTTTGTAAAGTATCGCGAAGCAAAGGGAACATCACATGATAACCAATGGTTCACTCAAATGTCATTTGTGTAATCATAGGGATCGATATGGACATCCACGGTTCCGCTATCGATCATTGAACGAAGGGGTTTTATTCATGTCTATGATTTACCAAACCTACGGGGTCACAAGCTTAAGGTAATCATGGTTTGCTGAGTGTTAGTAGGAAGAGAGTATCAATTATTTATTTGTGGAATTGTTTCATTAATATTCAGAATAGTTCTGAGAAGAACCAGAAGCGTTTCCGGGCACCAAAAGAGTTTCAGATGTTTCCAAAAATGTTCTGGTGCGAGGACACTTTGGTTGGGACAAGGGGTAAGGCCCACGAGGCTTGATGTCAGTGGAAAAGGGGTTTTGTGAAAGACAGGAGCCAGACGCCAGGGTCCATGGCGTCTGGTCCTAGGCCAGACGCCAAGGTCCATGGCGTTTCCGGAAACGCCAGGAACCTTGGCGTTTTGTGTTGGAAACCAAGAGGACTCTTCCTTGCATTCCAAACCGACTTTGGGGAGGCCCTCTCCTCAAGTTACGACCCAAGGGCTCAACATATAAATAGAGGGGCAGGGCTAGGCCCTAGAACACAAGTTTTATAGTCTCATCTAGTTCCTCTAGTTCTAGTTCTAGTTGATCCTAGTTGATCTAATTAGAGCTAGACCTAGTTCCTCTAATCCTCATAATTAGAATCCCAATGTGGTTCTAATCTCCTCCCTCTAATTCTCCGTCGACGATTAGCTCTGGACGGCGAAGTGCTGCCGGATCATGAAGACCGTACACTTGCAACCAAGTAGAGAGGCCATGCTTTCCGTCTTTCTTTCGAGGGCGGATCGCGGGGTCGTTCATCGACGGTTCGAGGGACTTCAAGTACGATCTACACCGACTCGTCTACTCCTGCTGCACTCCAGAGTCGGTAACAATCGTGATCCAAACCATTTATGCATCTTCACATTGTTCCTGGGTGATTGTAGGGCGATTTTTTGTTTTCTACTATGTTTCCCAACAGCTTCTACTTTGAGCTCCTGGGGCAGCACATGAGTCCACGTGCTGCTTTGACTTCGATGCATTGTATGCACAGGCCTGCCACATTGATGGCCCAATGCTTGTGGCCCAATTCAAACCGACCGAAATGGAGGCCTCATTCAATTTGCTGGACCGCACCAACACTCGCGAGCCGGATGGGCTTGGGCCTACTTTCTACAAAGCGACCTGGGTGCATGTGTGAGCGACGTGCAACACCTTTTCGATGAGCTGTGTGCAGGCGGCGCCTCGCTCGATGCCATCAACCTGGCATTCATCGTCCTCCTGCCCAAGGGGGACAGTGTGCCTACCCCCGGCGTCTTCCGCCCCATGTCAATGCAGTACACTGACGTCAAGATTCTCTATAGAGGGCTGGCTCAAGGTTCGGTTCACGTATCGCGGGTCTCGGCCCTTTCTTCTTTGAGGAACCCCCTTGGAACACTTTCCTAAACATTTTCTTCCTCTCTGAAAAATTTCTGAAATTTTTAGTGACTCAAAATAAAAGTGAACCAAACCCACAAGATTGATAGCAACTACTCCCACAAGTGTCTAGAGGCTATATCATGCAACAAAACTACTTTGAACCATATAAATTTGACATGCAAGCTCTGATGGTAGCTGGAACTACGTCGGTGTTTCCCCGGAGAGGGAGGGATGATGCAGCACAATGGCGGTAGTTATTTTCCTCAATTATGAAACCAAGATTATCGAACTAGTAGGATAACCAAGCAACACAACGTAAACAACCCCTGCACACAAATAACAACACCTCGCAACCCGACGTGTTAAAGGGGTTGTCAATCCCTTTCGGGTAACAGCACTAGAAATTGGTGCGTGACGGTAAAAATATTGTAATAGATTGGATAAATAGATCGCAAATAAAATAAAGAAAGCAAAGTATTTTTGTATTTTTGGTTTAATAGATCTAAAAATAAAAGTAAGGAAAAAGTAGATTGCAAAGGCAAATATATGAGAAATAAGACATGGGGGCCATAGGTTTCACTAGTGACTTCTCTCGAGAAAAATAGCAAATGATGGGTAAACAAATTACTGT